ATATGAAGAGACTTGGGATTAAAGTGTTAAAATTTAGCAACTAAATTAACAATGGAAAGGTCAGAAGCATTTAAGTGCTAACTTCTGAGCCACAAACCTGTGCAAATAACATTTTACAAAACCTCACTGCTAGACAGTGATCACAAATCACATATTTAAAACTTCATCTCTAAAACAAAAACATGTGGATGCTCATATGTTTGACTGCAGGGTCTATACTGTTCTATACTCTTGGTTGGGCTTGAATTAATAGCCTGAAGTTTTAACTTCTGGATGAACTTCTTGCTGGCTTCTGACTTGTGCTACACTGCAAGGCTAGAGTTATTTTGGAAAAAAGGTGAGTTTTAGAGTTTGAAGTGAGGTACCCCTTTTCACTCTGCTACTAGTGGAGCTAGTAGCTATGATGCTTTCACAAAGGTCAGATTAAGATGGGTCCAATTGCACACTGTAGGTATTAAACAGCCAGTGGGGGCCAATAAACCCCAGGGCCATTGCTTCCTCTTTAGCCTTCCACCTGCTATTTAGGGTTGTTGTTAGAATGACTGAGGAGCACTAAACTCAAGTGTTCTGTAAACATATACAGAGTCTGCAAAAGAAAAAACTCCTAAGTAGAAGGGGGTCTTTGTAGGGAGGTAGTGAAAGTATGACTGATGTGTGAGCACAGGCTTTCCAGAACTTTGGCTGGGAAAAGTAGTCAGGGTTTGAATGGACCACTTAAACCTGGACTTTTATAATTGTTCTCTTTAAACTTCAGTGGCTGTCCTTTCAACAGCTAATTATAAGGCAGCCTGTAAACCTTTTGCATAAAAATAAACTAGATCCCAAAGAAATGTGTGAAGACAATTACAGAGAGTTCAGATACAAACTGTTGATTTGGTAATGCTAATTCATCTTTGCAGATAGCTCTGTATTATACAGAGTTTGCATTTAAAAATCCTTTTGTAAGAGTGCCCCCTGCCAGTGAACAAAGGGAGGAACTAACACTAAAACTTTGAATTAAATGGGTTGATTGAAGTCTGGCTTCAGAGGCAGTAATAAATAAATGAGGTTTGCTTCTGGACAATAAAAAATTTACAGGTGACATAAAACATCTGAACCAATTCAATTCTGGTTTAAAGTAAATTTTAAAAATATTTAATTAAAAGAGATGGAGTAAGCTAACAGGTCATCTTTGTCTAGTCTAGCCTTCCACATTGTGGCATTTTTCAGAGATGGATCAGGATAATGGGAGGTATAGTCCAACACACTTTGAGGATATCAGGTTGGAAGGCTCATTCTTCAGACTAAGTTTGATAGCAATGGCCCACTGGCCAAATCCAGCTTCTAAAGGGTTCCCATCCAGCTCCCAGCTGAGTTCACAAGCAGAAGAGGGGGTTAAAATAGGGGTGCTGATACAGAGCAGCAGAACAGGAACATTTTGTTTGAGGCGGAGATGAGAGGCCAAGGTGCAAAAGAAGAGTTCATACATGCCATCTAAGTATATATCATATTCTTGCACATTTCATGTTGAGCTGTCTCTTAAGAAAGGAATGTAATAAAGTAGAACAGAAAAGTCTGCACTCACAGAACAAGTGTCTGGAAATATATTTTGATATATGCATCTTGATAATCCTCTCAGCTTGGGTGCTCTGCCAAATTCTGGATAGCCAGCTAAGGATGATGTAAATGGTGGCATTTCCTCACTTTTGGATGATCTTAGGCCTGGCAACTATGAATACCCTCCTTATGAAGTGGCTGCTCCAATAGCCTAAGGAAGGGCAACTGGTGGCCTTCTCGATGTTTTGACTCACAATCCCCATCAGCTCTAATGAGGAGGGCTAATGTCAGTGGATGATGGGTGTTGTAGGCCAAAACATCGGGGGGGGCACATGCTACTCACTGCCTACTCATTAAAGAGCAGTATGGCAGCATATATTTAAATAACAAGTTCCAGCCCCTGTGAACCCTCATATTTGCGCTAACAGAAAGTCCTGTCATATGAGTGGATGTCCACCCACATATCAGTGAATGGCTGCAGACTGGGAGCCTACAAATGTGGTCCCAATCTTAAAAAGGCCAAAAAGAGCATTTAGAAAGTGCAGACCGGTCAGTCTGACTGTGCCACGGTGGTAGGGGTGCCAGTAACCTCAAGACTGGATTCCTGCAAACGACTCTGAGGGGCTGCTCCTAAAGCTGGTCTGAGAGGCTGAGCCACTGACATCTGCAACAACCCGGCTGTTGAGGAGCTGCCCCTTTTCAGCATGTCACTCCTTTACTCAGGGAACTGCACTGGCTGCTTATCTGCTACTGAATTAGGCTTAAGGTTTTGTAAAAGCCATTATGAACTTAGGATCAGGGTATTTGAAAGAGCACCTTTTCCCTTATGATCCCGCCAGCTGCTGAGGTGATCCAATAATGCACTCCTGCTGGTTCCATATGCAACTTTGGTACATTTAAATCCTACTGGGAGAGTCTTTATTACATTTCTATACCATGCAACAGCTAAAGCTCTCTGGGTGGTTGACAACAGGGTACTGACTCCCTTCTATGAAACTAATGCCAGGCAGACCCTGGCACTGCTTTGTTTTCCATGCTTGCAGAAGAGTTTTGTTTTGTTTTTTTGTTAAACAAATATGAACTGACCAGCCATGGTTTTACTGGCATAATACATTTTAAAGATTTTAATTCTATATTTTAATTCTTTTTCTTGCTTTTTATTGTTCACTGCACCAGAATCCTTGTGAACAGAGAGGTGTATAAGTCTTGAAACAAATACACATTTATCAGTTGAGACACTAGAATAGATGGAATCAATTTATAAGCATCTTTGTTTACACTACATTTTGCCACTCTAATCTTATCACTCTCTCTTTTGAATCGTGCTATTAACTGGATTGTGGGAATGCTGCAGATGCATTTGATGGTCACCCAAGGTATTTTGGTTAGCAAACTGATTAAATGTAGGTTTGAAGATAATTCTATCAGGTGGATTCAAAGTTGGTTGGCAAGCAGTTTCTCACTGAACTGCAGAACAATTTTGAACCAGTTCTAGCAAGGTTCCTTCCTGGACCTGGTGCTCTTTGGCATTTGGATCAGTGACATGGATCACAGGTGTACAACCTTTTTGGCTCCAGTAAGGAATCTGGTATTGGCTGGGGACTGTACGTGCACACACATTAACCCTGTATGGGCCCCTACAATTTCAGTACACTGGAATGTTGCAAGTTTAAATCTCTGAGTTTGCTAGGAATGTAATGCATTCCCCTTCCCCCAGGGACTGGCACTGAGCTTGTTGCTTCTTTAGCACTACTGGTATCAGAAAGGCAGAAGCAGCATCTTAGAAGCCAGCAAACAGTAATTTCACCCCTCCACACAAACACACACTTTGCAGTTAGGTTCAACAGGTAGGTTGTAGGTCATACCAACTTTGGGGGCTGCACAGAGCGTGGTTAAGGGCCACAGGCTGGGCACCCCTGACTTAGATGAATGAGTGGAGAGGATTCTTAAGCAATTTACGGAAGACATCAAAATGGGAGGCATACCAAGCATGTGTCAATGCAACAATAAAAGTCAAAATAACCTTGACAGAATGGAAAACTGGCCCCAAATGAAGAAAATTAAACTCAATAGAAACAAGATCCTGCATTTAAGCAACACCAACAGTAATGTCAAACACGGATGGGCTTCCTAATAGTACATGCCAATAAATAAATAAGGGGCTGGAGTTGATCACAAGCTGAACTTGAGTCAGCAGTGTTTTGAGGCTATTATTTATTTATTTAAAACATTTATATTTCATTTGTACCAAATATATGTCAAGATGGCTCACCATTCTACCCTGTGCATACTGGGCACAGTATTCCAGCTCCCTTATGATAAGGGCAGAATAAAGTGAAAATACTGCTTCCCACGGCATGGACGCCACAGGGCTGTGTCCAGCACTAGGTGCCTCACTTGAAGAAAAAGGCAGTCAATGGGAATGCTCAAATTTTGGATTTTCTGCATTGTCTAGGGAGTTGGATAAGGCCCACTCCAATTCTGTGGCTTTAATGTCCTAGTGAGCACTGAGGCTAGGCCCAGAGATGGGCCAAAATAAGTTTTTGCAATAAGGGGCTAAAATGCTCCTGACAACACTTGGTCTGATCGGTATGCGCATGTGATGTGTGCACGTTCATGAAGTAGCTTCCTCTAAGTGCCTATCCTGATAGTGAACATCTGTGCCGGTTTAAATTACTGCTGTCCTGTTCAAGAAACAACTTGATCCACTATTAAAGGTTTTTCCACACACAAGCAAACTGACACAATCTTTTTTTGCAACATCCTGCTTCAGAAGGAAGTGCAAGGCAAGGTGTAATACAGAGCAGAGAAGCAAGTGCCTTCAGCGTGTAAGAGTGTAAGAATGATTTCTATGGCTATTTTTAAAAATCTTTCCCAGGTACTCAAGGCAGCGGACATGGTTCTCCGATCCGCCTTTTATCCTCACAACAATCAGGGAGGAAAGTCAGATGAGAGGCAATGACAGGGCCAAAGCGGGCTTCATGGATGAGCAAGCATTAGAACTCCCATCTCCCTAGCCTCAGTTTAACACGCTAGTCACTACCCCGCACTGGCCTTCGGGGCATTCAAGTCCACACGAATGATGTATTTTAACGGTATTTCCTGACTTTCCCTTTCAGTTCTGGTTATTCCGCCCATTCCGTCCTGTCTCCCCCAGAAACGCCACACCCATGCAATTCATTTCTTCTTCCACCTCATGCTTAGTATCTTCATAGTGAAAACCGGCTGCTCGCCACATACAGACGTACTTCTATTACACATCAGTCGAGCTAGCCAGTGACGCCTCCCCGTCATTACATTCACACACACTACCCAACCTCCCTATGACCTCATTTCCCCATCCCCAAAGCAACACGTGTTGTAGTCCAGAGCCACTGCTCTCGGCTGCGCTTGCGTAGTCGCCGCACTACAATTCCCGTGGGGCCCGAGGGCGAGAGTACGGCGCATGCGTTCATCCGGGGTAGTCGTGCTTCCTTCTGTCTTCTCCTGCTGCTGATGCAAGAGCTGAGTGCGGCGGCGGGGCAAGGAGAGTGAGCGCGCTCAGTGACCGACGGTCGGCTGACTTTCCGAGCGGAGTTTCGGCCACCCACACCGCGGAAGGGCCCACTTGACTTTCTCTCCTGAGGACCGGCGAGAGCCGCAGCCATGTCGGGTGACGAGGTGAGGGTAGAGACGTGACTGTGCCTGCGATGGAGCGGGGCCGGGCTTGGGCTGTGGCCGCCTCCGCCATGTGAGGAGCCGGGCCTTAGGCCTGCCCGCACGCCGCTCCGGGAGCGGCGAGGGAGGCCTGCTGCCTTCCGCCTTGCTCCTCTGGCCTAGGCGAAGGCCGCTCGGTCCTTTGCCTCCCCTGGATCGTTTTTAGGGAGCGGTTCTCGTTTGCCTCCTAGTAGGTGGTGGCAAGTGGCTGGCTCTTCCGCTCGCTCCCTTCTCGTCTAGTCCTGCGATATAAGGGGGAGGTTAAAGCCAATTCGCACGAAACGGTGTGTCAAAGCCAATACCACTGCAGTATATGTGCTGAATAGAGAACTACGGGGGGGGGGGGGTTAAAAAAAGTTAATCCAAAAGTGTCAGGTGTGAATGCAGCAAATACGTGTAAGGTGCTTTGGAGAAGATAGTATTGAGTGGTTTCTAATTAAATGTATTCTTGTTGGCAGGCCTGCGTGTGCCACAGCATGTGTGGATTGGGATGCTTTGGTTATTTGTTCACCTAGGCTTCCACCTTCCCGGGGAAAGCTCCTACTTATGTTCGCTTTGTGTGCTGAGTGTACTTAATTCACATGTTCCCATTTGTGTAATGTGGGAAGTTAAGTTTCTGTTCGTAAGAGTTAGCAAGTCCGCACAACAACATAGATTTAAGTTTTAATGAAGGGAAGCTAGTTGACTTGAACTAATTCTAGGTAGCCAAAATTTTATGGCCACTGATACGACTTATTTAAAAAGTATGCTTTGTTTCTGGTTCACTTTGGCTTATGCAGTGACATAAATGGAGCAATTACTGTTTTGTTTGGTCCCTTAAAAGCAACCTTAACATATTTTTAATAAAAATAAATTGTTAAAAATTAAAATATTTGTATCAGTGACACTACATAATACCACAGAGCTATTATTTAGCCCTTCACAAACCTTGAAACACAGAATTTGCATAGCTAATGTGCTACGCTAAAATAATTAGTTTAGGAGCAGGTATTAAAGCATCACTCTTTCACGTGAATAAGTGAACACTCCATTAATAGACATGTGGTTCCCCGTCCCCTATTCTGAGTCAATAAGAACACAGTCCTATAGAGAAAAATCCTGTAACTTCCAGCATGCAAGTCATGCTGGCTATGGTATGCTGTGAGTTGTAAGACTTTTCTGACTAAACAAGCATATTGTAATTTATATATTTTATTGTCAGAGTTAAAATAGCTAGGGTAGTCTTCTCCAACAAAGTGTCTTCAAAATGTTTTGGACTATAATTTTCTGTGTTCTTGATTCTTGGTCTAGAGTTGATGGGATTTTGAAGTCCAAAGCATTTGGAGAACACAATATTGGGGAAGGTTGAGTAAGAAACACATTGGTTCAGATAATTTCTAATGTTTCTCTGCACATGGCCTGCACCAGTGTAGGCCTGTGATCCATCGATTGCCAAACCCAGCCTTTCAAGACTAGAGCCTTTTGTGCCTTAACCTTGTTGTTGTTATTTGCAAATGCTTGTTAACAAGTAATGGATTATTGCTTGTTTCTAAGCCTAATATGCCTATCCATAGGGTACTGAGGGCTACATGCATAATCAAGAAAGAAAGAATTGTGCCAGGCTGTTGAGCAACTTTTCTCTACCCTGAAGTATTCTCTTTCAGATTGACATGGTAGAGTATTATATCCTATAAGTTTCTGTAGTAATTGAAATAAATCATTGCCATGAATTTTAATTGTTAACTTACTGGGGTAAGTACTTTTTTATTATTGAGAGGATTTATAAACTGTTTTTAGGAGAAACCCTCCCACGGCATTCTATAAAATTTCGTATAGCAAACCAGTAGTAAGTATTGTACACATTGAGCCATATACTGTTGGAAGATCTCTGCTGGCTCCTAGGTTACCACACATGAAAAATCAAGAGTTATGTATGGCATTGCATCTTAAATATATTGTACAGAAAGTTATTGTAGACCATAGGGTATTGTTTTTTATCCAGATCAACCAAAATGTTGCAACAAGGATTACTTGGATACTTGTCTAAGATGAATGTATTTGGAAGAGCACTGAAATCTTTTGGGAGTGTACTGGTGCCTCTTGTGAAATAATGTGCATACAGTCATTTCTGCATGAGGCTTGCATTTTTTTCAATATTAGTATCTGTCCTGATAATACAGATTGGTTCTAAGAGAAAAGCCTGTACCTCTTCTAAGGATTGCAGGGTATGTTGTGGAAGGAATCTGGAGGTATGTCTATACCAGTTGCTTGGGAACAGGAAGGTTTTTCCTCAGGCTATTTTGCAAACAGCATGCTTGCCTAGATGGACTGTTGGTCCCATCCCTCATGGCTCTTAAATTGAGGAGGACGTTGTACGTATGTATAGGCCTTTTTTCCTATATGCCCTCCCACCCCCTAAGATTAGCAGCAGAGGCCCTCCTCTGGGAACCCTCTTTGAAAGAAGTTAGGAGACAGAGTACTCTGAGGAGAGCTTTTTCAGTGGCGCCCTGACTATGGAATGTGCTCACAAGAGAGGTCAGCCTAGCCCCATCATTATATGCTTTTCGGCGCCAGGTCAAGACCTTTTTATTTAACCAATATTTTAAAGTTAATTAATTTTAATGGTATATTTATTTATTTAATTCATTTTAATCATGCTATTTTATTCTCAGTCATGGTGTAGCCAATTTATTTTAGGATTGGTGGGTTTTAATGTTTGTAAACCACCCAGAGAGCCCTCTGGGCTATTGGGGTGGTATATAAATGCAATCAATCAATAGGCCTCCTATAACTGCTGAGGCTTCCTTGGCGACATTTAGCTAACATTAGTTGATTATATTGAGCATGGGGAGGAAAATAGTCCCAAAGTAGTAATGTGTTTGTATGATATTGTGGAGCCTCTTGGAATTTCAGTTCATTGTCAAAGAGAATAGCATAAGGATACATTGAAATAACTTTGCATATCAAATCTGCTCAAGGATTTGATTAGCCTTTGGCTTTAAATATAAATTACATGTCTTTGTAGAATACTGCACTTTCAAGAACATTTAACTGGTATCTCTGCTCCTAACACACCCCGTTTAACTATCTCGTATGATGAGACTCTCTTCTATTGCAAACTGAAAGTGTAAAACTATAATTAAAACGTGAAGGTATTATTTGGGCTAAACTAAAAAGTGTGCAGCATTGTAATGTCTTTTCCTCCTTTCAAAAGCCTTTTAAAACATGTGTATTAGACAATATATGATCTGACAAAAAGTGGGCATAAAGCAAGTTTAAAAGGTAAAAGGTAAAGGTTTCCCCTTGACATTAAGTCCAGTCATGCCTGACTCCAGGGGGCGGTGCTCATCTCCGTTTCCTAGCCGAGGGAGCCAGCGTTTGTTCGCAGACAGTCTCCGTGGTCATGTGGCTGGCATGACATGGAACACTGTTACCTGCCCACCGCAGTGGTACCTTTTTATCTACTTGCATTTGTATGCTTCGAACTGCAAGGTTGGCAGGAGCTGGGACGGAGCAACAGGAACTCACCCTGTTGTGCAGATTCGAACTGGCGATCTTTTGATCAACCAGCCCAGCAGCACAGCAGTTTAAACCGCTGTACCACCTGCAGTCCCTAAAAAAGCAAGTTTACTAAGTAGCAAATTCCATTCAGTTCAGTGGGACTTACTCTCAAAATAAGTGCATAGGATTGGAGCCTTGTTCCAAAAATTCAGAACTGCAGCTGTTGTAGTTACTGATTTTTTAAAATCAATCAGTTATTTAGTTTGAAAATGTATCCTTTTCAAATTAATAATAAAATATGAAGGCTGTCTTGTGATAATACTTCTCTGTATAAACCCCTTCCTACTGTGACTTACAAATCAAGTTAGATTTTTAAAATCTTCCTGTGCAGTTGAGGAATTTGTAAAGCATTTTGCTTCTCAGATTTGTCAACTCCTTGTACCATGTAAGTATTCAATATTATCCTAATTTACTTTGTAGGTGAGGATGGAAATCTTAATTTAAACAGAACATAGCTTGTCTAATGTGAGTAGTAGACTGCTGTAAAGTTGGAGAAGTATCTTGTAAAATTTATTGTCAAGGTGCTGAAGGAAAATTCTGTTGTTTCTTGCAGATGATTTTTGATCCTACAATGAGCAAGAAGAAGAAGAAGAAAAAGAAGCCTTTTATGCTTGACGAAGAAGGAGGTGATACACAAACAGAAGAAACGCAGTTATCAGAAACAAAAGAAGTGGAGCCAGAACCAACAGAAGACAAAGATACAGAAGCTGATGAAGAGGACAGTAGGAGAAAAGGTAAGATGGCATGCATCTCTTGGAAACACTTGAGAAGTTTGACTTCTCAGATGAAAACTTGGATACAGAAGGACATGGTGTTTACTTCATGAATCTGCAGCTTTGCAAGAAATCCTATGGGTTAAGCAGTTTTGTTGTAGATTTGGGGAATATCTGGATTTAGAGCTTGCTCAGTACTCAATCTCATTGGGTTGCTGTGGGCAGGTCACTCTCTTGCTCATCCAGGTCTCCATGCAAGGTTGTAGTGTGCATTGTATCTGAGAACCAGATGCATTCCATGACATTTAACTGAGCTGCCGCATGAAGAACTCAGTGTTGATCAACATTTTGCACACAGCTGAAGTAGTGCAGAATAATTTTTAAATAGGCTTTTGCATGTGTCCTGACATTCAGATCAGCACCCCTCATGGTGCTAAAGTCATGCACTGATCTTAACATTTGGCTCCTTCATGCACGAAAATCTTGAGAATTATCTCTGAATACTGTCAGGTTGTTTAGATTGTGTCAATGAATTCAGTTCAGTGGTACAGTTGTCTTCCTTCCGTGCTTATAACTACTATTGTTTAGACTGCTTTGTAACATATTGCCTTTGATTTTAAGATGCTTCGAATGACTTAGATGACTTAACCTTCTTCAATCAAAAGAAGAAGAAGAAGAAAACAAAAAAGATATTTGACATAGATGAAACTGAGGAAGGTATAAAGGTCAGTTGAATTAAGACTAAAGGACATATTTGCAGTTTTAAACTTCGTTAGCTTTTGTGATGTGCAAAATATCCAGTTCAGTACAGTCTGTAGTGCATTCTGAAGTTAAAACTGGAAGGAATTCTTTAGCATTTAACTCGTCCTATATTTATCAGGTATAATGTGAGAACCAGTATTACAAGTAAATGGTATGTGGTTGGGATGAGGCCTATCAGTTAAATTTAATTTGTTGTCAAAAGCTGTGCTTGTTTTTGCTGTATTCTAGGATGTATAAGAATGTAGAGCTTAATAAAATAAAATAGCATATTCAATGTTTATCTTCATTTGCTGTTTTAGGAACAAAGAACCAAAATAACTTTACAAAAATGCCCATTCCCCTCAATACCAATACCTAAAATTGGGGGGCATGCCCCGTTTATGCTTCATAGGAAGAATCCATTTTTCGTGTAATGCTGTGTATCATGTCACTGCTGCCAATGAAATATTCTGTCATGTCTTTTCATATTTCATGTCTTGCCTTACATCATATAAGAATCCATGATATTGGTGACATGCAGTGTTTTCATTCTGTGAAGAGGAAAATTATGTTTTTGTAGTGCATCCTTACCTGTTGTGTTCCCAGGGCAGAAATATAGCATACTGCTCATTTGACTTGTTTGAGTATGAAGCTCAACCATAACTTAATTGTACAAGGGCAAGCCTAATCTTAACGTAGGCTTGAACATCCCCCCTCTACCCCACTTCTAGCACAACACCAAGGAGGTATACAGAAACCTTTGCCTAATTTTTGGTTAACTGTAAGCTTCCTGAGTGATCTGAAGCTAGATGAACTGCTTCATCTCCACTTTGTTTAGTGGAAACAAGAAAATCTCAAGCAATCCTTTATGAAACTGGTTTATTTTCAGTAACGATAGTTAAAATTAACCACCATTTTGGGTTTAAAGTGGAAACTTTTAATTGTCTCCTTGTGGCTGCGTGAGAGGAGGAGAAGGGAGTACATGAACTTGGAGGCAGTTAGGCCAAGAGCTGTACCAAATGTCTTCGCTTCACCCAGTGCAGGGACAGTATCTTAACTTGCTTTTCTAGAAGAGCCTTACAGAACCTAGTACCTCCAGAGCTACTAACTGCATTATCTTCACACAGTTGGCAGGTACCAGGTTGGGGTAAGTTGTTCGGCAGCATGTATTTAAACCTGACTTATTCAATATTGTCACACATCTGTTGTGTGATATCAGATTATTGGGTAATGTAGCTTAAAATATCACACCTTAGCTATATCAGCCCTCTCCATGTTGCTGACCTCCAAATGTGTTGGACTTCCCCCAGGTAAGACTTGGGTGATGAGGAAGATGGAAGGAGTCCAACACATAGACTTGAATAGTTACTACTACTATACACTAGTAGTAACTACCCATTCTGAAAAGTCGTTAAAGGGTTGGAAGTAATATACTTTAGTCTTTTTTAAAAAAGTAATTCCTGAGGATGGTTATTTAAATGTACTAGCACTAGTACTTTTGGGTAACTTATTGTTTACTGCCATTTATTTGTATCAATGCATCCTTGTTTATATTGTGACACATTGTTTTCAAGGACCTGAAAATTGAGGGTGATGTGCAGGCGGCAGTAGAACCAGAAGATGACCTTGACATCATGCTTGGAAAGAAGAAGAAAAAGAAGACTGTTAAGTTTCCAGATCCGGAGGAAGTATTGGATAAAGATGAAAGTAATTATGATTTTAAAGGGTGAAAGTTAACTTTTAAAGATTTAGTGTAGGGCAGAAGGAAAATAAAATTAAAGGTGGATTCCCATGCGAATTTAGATTGAAAGGGCTTTTTTGGTCCAAACATGCCTAATATTGTGCCCCAGGCCTTGTATCTGAGTGCTTCCACAGTAGTTTCAACTTTTCCACTCTATTCAGCATTTAGATACTCAGCCACTTGATTTAACCACCTCTTCACTGTTATGTTAGCCCAAATCTACATAACTTTCTTCCCATTTCTTTCCTACTTGAGTAAAACCACAGTGGGATCCTGTGATGAAAGCAGGGGGAATTTTGGAGCAACATGATTTAGTTTGGGGCTCAATAAATTGAGAGGAAGGCTGCAGCTTTTAAAGAATTTCCTCTTTGAAAATCACTGAGAACTGGCAATACCCATGAAATAAAGTACTAATATAGGAAATTCTGTTAACAGCAATGCCATTTGAATTGTCAACTAAACAGTGGGAAATGTTTCTCCAAAGCCTGAATCTAACAGCAAACCTAAACTGGACATTTAATTGTCAGACTTTCTTAAGAACTTCTTTGGAGTCCTTTAGTGTGTGTGTGTGTTAAGAATTGTTCTGGGGATTGGTAACCTACTCTGAACTAATTTTTTCAGTGGAGGACAACTGGGTGTCTCCCTACCATTTTTATTCTGTTTGAAACCTACACAGATTTAGCTTTATGGTGCAGCTGTGGTAAAAGAAGTTTCATATGTCTTAAAGATGGTATAAATCTAGTTTGCTGCTCTACGGTTGTCTTAAATATTATGTAAATGGTGAAACTGTATTATCTTCTGAATGCGCTGTCCAGGATTTAAAACAAGTGATGTGGGGAATATTTTTTCCAGTGTGTTATTTTTTTCTGTTGGTAATTTTCCACTTCAAAAAATACATCGTTTCATGAAATTAATTAATAGCACAACCAGTGGATCCAATCTGATCAATTTCAAAGTTGTACTTAATTTATTTTAAGTGATTATCCCTGGGAAGCACACATGTCGCACACACATGTTCCAGTTATTGAAAGCAGCAGGGTAAATTCAAACCAAAATATACATAATTCAAACATGCTGTATCTGACTCTTACTGAACTGTAGCATAAGAATTTTCTGATTCACTTTTTTATGGAAACCCCACATTGTTCAAAGAGCATTCGGCACATGTGTAAAGCACTGCTTTGGTGGAGCTGCTACGTTTCCCATTCTAGCTTCAGCACCTCACAGCATTCTATATAAATACTCACTCTTTGAGTCATACAAGGAGTATAGTAAGGAAGGAATAGCTGAAAAGTTGTGGCCCGCATAGATCTTTGTGAGTGGTTTCTGGTGTATTATTAATTTTATGGTTGTATTTGCAACCTGTATTTCTGGAAGAAAATTATATGATTGTCATGCACATGGTGGAACATGACCTGGATCTCAAGTATATTTCATATTTTGCAGCATTGGAAGATGAAGATAGCAAAAAGGATGATGAAATCTCATTTAGTTCTCAGTCGGGGCCTGCATGGGCAGGCTCAGAGAGAGACTACACATACGATGAAGTAAATAGCTTTTATGCTTTTTAACATTATTATATTTTCTTTTTATTTACAGACTATTTGATGTCTCAATGGGGATATGTGAACACATATAAGAAGTCTAAAATTACTTTAAATATGACTAAAATATGTTATTAAACTTCAGAGGGCTAAACTAAGTTGTTAAACTTCAGCTGAAGTTGGATGAACAAAGGGAAATAGAGGGGTTTTAAAAAAATAAGGTTAATCAGAAAGTAATGAGTTGTGCATTCATAGACACGTTAATAGAGTCTATACTACTGTCTTCTTCCCGAAAATCATGTGCAAAAAGAGAGGGTTTTGTGAAGCGCTGTGCAAAACTTAGGCCCTAAATGTATTGTTCCAAGTGCCCCCAATTTGTCAATATTTAAATGTGTGTGAAATAGAGAACATTTCTTCTTGCAAGTTCTGCTTCTCAAAATGCATGGTGGGACTGGCAGGAGCCAGGGAAATGGTGATGTAATATCCTTGAAACCCTTTCAGTTCTATTTCAGTTTTGAGCTACTAGGCACAGGCACTGAGTGTTTAATTACACTTTGGGGTGTCAGCATTCTCTACAGATTTCTTGTGGTATTTTATGGCCTTGGAGCTGCTTTTTCCCTTCTGCTTGCCTTTCTTGTGATCCAAAGCAAGAAGGAGTGATTAGTGCACCAAATAAATTGTTCATGGTGACCATTTTACTAGATTTTTTCTTCAGGGAAAATCAAACAAGAGTTTATATTCTCTAATAGCAAAGGTTCAATGTATTGTGTGTGGGTGGGGTGGGGAGAGCATGAGTAGTAGCCCTGCCTCTAACATGTATGTCTTCATTTGCTGTGCCTCTGACCTCTGCGCATTGGCTGGAATATGAGAATGAGCACACTCTGTATACAGGCATACATGCAGTCAACTGCCAACTCCCCTTTATGTGTTAGTTTAAGTGGATGGACTGGAGTATCAGAGGGAAGTCTTTTGTGAAAGAGCTGAAGCATTTCAGAGGGAAGCACAGTATAATTTTAAGAAGATGAGTTGTTTTGGGATCACTGAAAAAATTGGTTTCCTAATAATTACCTCCTTACAACATCACTCATTAAGTAGAGAAATGCAATAATGAGAGATGGTTCATGATTGAAATGTATTAATATTTTTTCCCATGTGTGTCCAGTTGCTGAATCGTGTATTTAACATTATGCGGGAAAAAAATCCAGATATGGTAGCTGGTGAAAAAAGAAAATTTGTCATGAAACCACCTCAAGTTGTAAGAGTAGGAACCAAGAAAACATCATTTGTCAACTTTACAGATATCTGTAAACTGTAAGTCTTGACTCTGTTGTGATCTGGGATAGGAAGTGGCTAAAGGGAAGAGGGGCTACCATAGTGTTTTGGTTGTATACTGTGTTTTGTTGGAGTGGGAGTAACTCTTGGGGGTTATTTTTTGCATGATATGCGAACAATTGTGTATTGTTTGCATGATGTGACAACCTGCTTGGGCTGTTTAACCCATGGTGGGACTGTGGCACATGTGCAGGCCATTTTGAATATGCAACACCCACATGGGTTGTCGTGCCATGCAGACCTGGCTAGTGTGGGTTATGTGAAGGTTAAACAGTGCTTGCGTAACATGGCTTACTTTACAGTTATGAAATGGTTGTTTAATCCTCATGTCAGGCCACGTGAACCTGGCATGGATGTATTACAATCCTTGAGTGGGATTATATATTCATTGTGGTAGCTGTAAGGTTATTGTGATTTAAATAACCTGCATTGAGTGCTGACCTGTAATTCAGTTGCAGGTGGAAAATACTTTAGTGGCCTGCTCTTAACATGGATGGTTCAAGGGTGAAAAGTTCATGAGGCAGTCAACTTGGAATTTCTTTATAACATTTAGTGAGGTGAAAGTATTTTAGGCACTCTTGTGAAATCCCCATTAATTAGCACAAGAACAATTCCCAGTGAGGTTGACCCATGATCTCCAGTACTTGAAAACTCTTTAAGAGTAGCAGAATGTGGCCACCAGATAACACTGATTCTTTTTGGCTTCTTAACTCAGACCTGCTTAGAATCTGGATTTGGCCCACTACTGCATTCCAGAAGTTGGGAGTTTGTGGGGTTGGTGTTTGTACATCTACAATGTTTGCTTTCTCATATATTTGGCTGGACAGCTAACTAGAACTAATGATTGCTGGAAATTCCAACAAAATACATTAAGGGAAATGATTATTATTTGAAATGTGTCTCTTTGTAGAGCTAAGGATAAGTTAGAAAAATCACATTGCTCTTTTCCCACTGAAGCAGCTAAATTCTGATGGAACAAATTAGCCCTTTAGTACATGTAGTGGTACTGTTCGTTCTTGGAAGCTCTGCATTTGAAATAGCCTTCATATTTTTTAATTTTATCAAAGGGCTGTTTAAACATGGCTTTGAGATGTCACTGGAAACAGTGAAATACAAATTGATATCAGATCTATATATATTTTTGGTTCATAGAACTGAAAGAAATTGAATCTGCTTCTTGCATTGAGCCCATTGAGGTGATTGTTCTCTCCTGTGCTATAAATGTCCCTTCCTTAATCCCTTTTCCTTGATTATGATGCTTTTGCTTCTTCAAATATTCTGAAAACAGGTATAATCTGTCTTTGTTGTAGCTTTCATTGTGGGAATGAACAGTTTGGTATCCCCCAGATGTTTTGTAATCTTTGGATATTTGTCATGCTGGCTGGGATATAAGGGAGTTGTATTCTTAGGTATCTGAAGGATACCAGATTGTCTACCCTGGTTTATATCATAGCTTCTCTGCTCTCACATTAAATCCCTCAGTAAACACTGCTTGTGAGATCAGAGTAAGGTACTGTGTATAGGATCACTGAACATTTAATTCTGTTTTGTGCAATTACTTCATATCTTTTTATTTTGAAACAAATGCCCTACATGTGTATATATTGTGCTGGTAACTAAGTAAATTCTGACTCTTATTTTTAGATTACATCGTCAACCAAAGCATCTCCTGGCTTTTTTGCTTGCAGAATTGGGTACAAGGTAATCATTTTAACATTTTACTCTTTTCATGAATATAGATAAGTTTGAGAATTCTGAATACATCTTTTAGACATAAGTCTTGTGAGTTATGTGAACATTTTAAAAACAAATCAATTCAGAATATAGATTGTTTCGAACATTCTCAGGCATGGAAATCTTCACTATTTTGAAAACTGGGTTTTGTAAACTATTTTTGAGTGCACTCTCTCATCTGGAAGTAAAAGCACCTAAGTTGCTGCTTTTCCATATTTAAATTTGACAATAATGTATCCAATAAGGACTTATTCTATGTAAAGGAGGCAACTTGAAAGCTCTTGCCAAGTGGCATTTTTTCTCCTTGCTACAATGGTTAGTATACCAGTCATGTGCATGAGGGGAACTTGTATGGAATCTTTGTTGCACAGTGATGTATTGCATCTATTACAATGCTGAAGAAATTAAGCATACCAAAGGCGAAGCAAACATCCATTCAAGAATAACCAGTTCTTCCTGTCTGTTCAGGTTTAAGCCTGTGTCAGTTAAAACAGTTTATCCAAAAAGTTTAAATCCTGCTTGCACTCAGGTCCGCCCCCCCCCCCGCCCACTGCAGGCTTCATCTCTTCACACTTGCTAAACTGCTGCTCTGGCTCACAATTTTAGAGAAAGAATTCTTGAGGTGGGTGGCTGTGTGAGTGGGCCACTGCCAGAAGACAAGTGAACAAACCCCTTTCCAGAAGTAGAAATAACTTTTTTTAAAACTTGGAACCCAAAACTTTCCCTAGGAGCAAAAATGGCAAAACTGAGACTATTATACTTTGGAAGGCAAGTATCCTGAAAAAGCAAGACTCATTGAAGAAGGCAGTCTTGCTAGGCTTGCGAAAGGCAGAAGAAGAAAAGGAAGACCAAATAAGAGATGGATTGGCTCTATAGAAGAAGCCATAGCATTGAATTTAGAACAGCTAAGCAGGGATGTCATGGATAGGGCATTTCAGCGGCCTTTCATTCATAGCGTTGCCATAGCTCAGAGATGACTTTACAGCACATAACACAACTTGGAATCCAAGATAAAATCATCAGTCTTGGCCAATTCTTTTCCAATATCTTTTTCTGCTTAGATAAGAAAAGGAAAAGCCATAGTTAATGCCCAAATTCTTTTTTTTTATGTGTGGTTCCCATATGGTAAGCAAAGTTCTGTACTTTGTCATGCTGTTGATTAACTTGTTGAGCAATGTGCTGATTTAACTTTGCTTGCTTGCAGTTTGGGATTAGATATGGGTAGGTGGACTCAGCAACAAAAGGTAGCAGTAAATCCCTGGTGTACATGCATTTTTTGAACCTCTGAGGAAAGCATACCGAGAAGATAAGAGCAAAAACTGTTTCTATGTACAAAATATCTTTTGGTTTTTGAATATGTAAAGGTACAATGAGTCCATGTGCAGATCACTGGGGCATGAGACTTGCACATGCCTCTGAATGCTGAATTTGGCCTAGAAGGAAATCTGTCATAACAACAAAGTATGCTGCAGTGTTGTAGCATAGTACTTTCTTAACCCTCCTTGCAGCATTTAGGTAACATACAGGAGAACATTGCAGGGTTGTCATAAGCTGTATATGTAGCTTAGCCAAGCCTGTAGTAGAAGCATAATATCCAGGAGAACACTGCCAGATTGTTGCAAACCATGCCTCCCGAGTCCCAGCCTCTTTCAGCCTAGCATATGAGGAAATGAACTGCATTTGGTTGGAACTTGCATTGGCAGGGCTACCTTGAAATGTGTCACTCTAAGTAAGACCAGCCTTAGAAAGAGCTGGAACTCCCACCTTTGTTACTAACTTTCTGGATTTTGGGGGTGTGGATGGTCACATTGGTGCCCATTAACAGCAACATTAAAATTTTGAATTTCTTGATTGATTTTGGTTTTAATGACTAGCTCTCAGTTCTGTCCAGAATAAAAGACCTTGGAATGTGAAAAAGAAACTAACCTGTCTAATGAGATGGCACTCTCTGCCTCTTTTAGATCTGTGTTTCTTCCCCTGTGCCCTCTTGCTTTCTATGTTCTGAGAAGGAAAGAAAGGGAGAAACTGAGGAAGAAGCACAGAAATGTAACTGACCTTCTTCCATTATCCTCTGTATTCTTTGTCTTCTCTTTCAGCTGCTCGGCCTGTATGTCTGCTAATCTACCTTCCTTCCTTCCGTCCCTCCCTCCCTCCCTGAACCCCAGCAAAAACAATTTATAGTAGAAAGAAAGGGAAAGCATCAGCCACTCAGACCCTCATCTCAATTGCTCTACTTCTGCCTACTTCTTTCCCATGATACTATACTTTGTTTCCTCTTCCCTAATTTAGTTTTTCAGTGCAAATTCTGTACCTACTAAGCATGTTTAGTCCTTGTTGAGCTGTATGAGGTTTCTCCTGCCTTATTCTAACATTCTTTTTTGTATTACTGCAAACCTCCAGATTCTGAATTATCCATCCTGTTGCTAGATGTTCCTATTTGACTAAAAAGCTGTTATAACTCTGATGATGACTTTGTCCTTAAAAGGGAGCTATAAATTATGTGGTCTCAATACTGATGGAGATCATCTTAGCATTTTGTTGCATTTGTTATGATAATTAGGGAAACATTTCTTTGCATTATATGCCATTTCTTTCTAACTTTATTCTAAACTTTATAAAAATTTTCTTTCAAATCAGTGGCTCAATAGATGGTAATAACCAGCTTGTAATCAAAGGAAGATTCCAGCAAAAACAGATAGAAAATGTCTTGAGAAGATATATCAGTAAGTATATTGTACAGGAGCATGTTATTCATCCTTGGAAAAGTGTCTAGCTTTGCTAGCTTCTTAACCTGTTATTTAAATCATAAGCACTTCAAAAGAGAACAAACCACAGCAGGAGTGGCACTATAATAATCAGCCAGCGCTTTCCTGAAAGTCCTCTGAACTGACTATGTGCCTGCTGATTGCCAAAAGTCAAGTAGTATTTGGAATAGGTGTCTGTTCTAAAGGGCACTCCACAAATTGCACACCTAGCTGCCCAGAAGCTGGGAGGGTGGGAATCTCTCTCTACTGGTTTGAGTGTTTGGGTAAGTAGATCCAAGTTGAGGAAGGAGATGGTCCTTGAATATCTTTGGCACAGGTAGAACAAAATACTCATTCTACATTTCAGTGGAATAGCTTCCTACAGCTATTTTTTTTAGGTAAAGTGTTTGATAGATGTTTCTCATACAAAAACTCACAGACATAGGATATGTAGTTTAAGTGTGTAGGCTTCTTCTTATCAGACAGTAGAACAATCAGTGGCAGAATGCATGATTTACATGTGGGATTTCCCCTGTCTTAGTTTCTAGCACTACCAAGTAATAGATTGGGTTTGAAAAGTGTTTGGAAACTTCAGATGGTTCACAGTGCTGCAGCTAGGCTATCAGGGCATTGTTGGGTACATAGGATACTGGTTATGGCAACTTAACTGGCTGTAGGTTTGGTTTTGGGCAAAGTGTAGGCTACACATTCAAAGTGTAGGCTATGACCAGTGAAACCCTATCTAGTGTTCAGCCAGGTTTTTGAAAGGTCATCTTTTCCCATTATGAGTTTTTAAACTCTCTGAGTTTTAAAGCTCTCAGGAAAGACTTCTTCCTATCCCACCATTCTTAGACACGTATTTGAGAATGTCACTGATGGCTTTCTTGGTGGCTGCTCTCAGGTTCTGGAACTCTCAGCTAAGAGGGGCCAGGCTATCTCCATCCCAATTGTGCATTCATTGGACTTTGGTGATTAATGTTTATTTCATTTCCATGCTGCCCCACAACTGAAGCTCTCTGGCCAGCTAAGCTGACTTATTTGATAAATTAGGTTTTAACTGATGGGTACTGTTTTCATTTATGTGCTTTTAATTGATTTGTTTCATGTTTTAGTAATGATTTGTATTTGATTATTGTTGGTTGACTTGAGTACTTTTTTAATGGAAGAGCAGGACATACATTTTAATAAAATAGCATGTGGGGAGCAAGATGTTTGCCTGAGAGTCAGGAAGGTTACTGATTGTCTATGGATCAATCATGTGAGTTGGTATAAGGGAGCTTTATATATTTAATGAATAGTGACACAAAAGTGATAGACGAACTGAGTTCCAAATTCTGAAATGGTATGCAGTAAGTGCAATTTAAAGTATTATTTGTGCATTCTTACTAAAGTTGAGCTGCATAGTAGAAAAATAAACAGTCAATGTTGCTTATGGGATAATTAACTTTGAAACCTATTTGTGGAGCATATGAAGAGCTATTTGACCATGGAAGTACTACATGCACAAAATATTTTATAACTTTGGTGCCTAAGAACAAGATTTGCATGTGTTGACACAGAAAATAGTCCAGTTAGTTTATAGCTAGCTTTGAAAAGATGCTTAAATGCTACTATAGTATCTTCTTGGTTGAATACATGAACTTTTTTGTGAGCTATCAGAATTAATCTGTTCCTAATAAAGCATGTTTAATTGTTCCCCCCAGAGGAATATGTCACCTGTCACACATGTCGGTCGCCAGACACAATCTTGCAGAAGGACACCAGATTATATTTTTTGCAGTGTGAGACCTGCCATTCACGCTGCTCTGTTGCCAGCATCAAAACTGGTTTCCAGGCTGTCACGGGCAAGAGAGCACAGCTCCGTGCCAAAGCTAACTAGGTGGTTGGTTGACACTGGATTTTTCAAAGTGATCTGGGCACAAAAGGCTGGACAGGCTTACAACCTGAGTGGAGTTCCAATGTATTAAAACAAGATTGTAAAAGCTGCTTGGCTTTGGGTTGGTCTGTGAAAATTCTTGCAAGCTACAGATCCTCAAGCTGTTTGACATTGCTAACTGAATATTTTACCAACTGTCAAGTGTGATGAGGAAGGAGGTGCTTTTTAATCTGTTCATAGAACTCTGTAAAATGCAAGAGGAATTAAAGTTATTATAACAGTGACTCTTTCATTTGAATTTTTCTTCGTTACTCTTGTTAGTTGCTTTGGCAACAATACTGTGAACACATGCAAGCATCATAACTAATTCAGATGATCAGATGACTAGGCAATATGCAGTGGGGCACAACTACAAATGTTTATTATGCTGTGCTAGTGAAAAACTATTGTCCTGGAAAATTGGTGTTCCAGCAAATGCTATGAGTGTTGCACTAGTGTAATTTATGCTAGTGTAACATTATTTACATTAGCATTTGTGCTGGTTGGATACTTTCTTTTGTTATACAGAGATACTTTGTCTTGAATATATTATAAGAATAGAGGGAAACAGTTAATGAATGACATTATAAAAATATCCTGTCATTAAAAACAGATAATTTTGACTGCATACCTCCATCCATATTCTAATTATTTGTTCCAGCCCCACACTTCTTTATGCTGACTTCTAGAACTGATAAGGCACTCCATGATCAGCTCCTCTTCATATTCTGGGACTCTTCTTCATAAGTGCACTGCAGTTGAACTGTACAGTTCATTAATGAAACACATCATTTGATCAGGATGCCAAATTAATGTGAACAGTTTGGGGAAAATGTTGCAGTTGAAATGTATTTTATGACTGCCTTACCTATGAGAATTTTGCATTGCAAGCTTTCACTTATGCATTTGGAGAGTTAACTTCAAATGAAATCATAAGGTTAAACTAAGTTTGTGGAAATGAATTTAAATGAAAGCATCCAGTTCCAAATTAATTGTAGACATTAGCACACCTATTATAGGGTAATTAATCCTGTGTCTTTCCTCATCTCCACTAGTCTAACCTCTACTTTCTGCAAGATATGTGGTATAACATCTTTCCCTTCCCAGTAGTGTGCAACAGAATCGGGCATTGATATATTCACCCCCACAACAGCTTGGTCTTCTTTATATTTTAATTGGTATTTGCTTGTAACTGAGGAGGTAATTCACTTAAAGTTTTTGACAGTGTTAATACACTTGTGCATAGGAGTTGCTGTGCACTTGAATGTGCAAACAGCTTTTAACAAGAGTCCCTCACCATAAGCACCTGAGTAAACTTTCCTGTAATGGTATAAAGGGACAGATCTCTTAAATATTGGGGACTAGTTAAGAGGAATCAGAGTAGGAATTAAACGGTTTTCACTGTAGAGGGTTGTGCTCTGGATTTTCTTTTTCACAAGTAACCTACAGGTAAAGGTGAACTGTAAGGTGATCAGTTTTTCCTGATGTGACACCAAGTGCAGGCTGGTAAAAACAAAATGGGATTTCCAAAAGCATCTTTCCAAACTCAACGAATAGGCATTAAAATGGTGGATGTGGTTCAGGGTAACTGGTGCACTTGGAAGCAAAAGGCTGTTGCTTCATATATACACTGGAGCTAGCAGTGACTGAACAGTAAGGGTTCTTGTGGAATAATTCAGTAAAAACATTGAACTAGGAACTGGGGAAAAATGGAATTGAAGTAAAGCTGGCAGTACACCTGGGCTTGGGATGCTGTGTGCAGGTTTGGTCATTGCATTCTAGACCCTAGAATCCTATAGTGAAATGGAATGCTGGGAGATTAGGATAGCCAAAGGAAAGAAGGTCACATGCAAGTATGTAGGTAGGCTCTTACGTGCCATTTATGGGATTCCTATTATGGGATTCCTATGGGCATCTGCTTAGCCACTGTGGGAAAGAAGATGCTGGTCTTGGCCTTTCATCTGCTCCAGCATGGTTGTGCTTACATTTCTCACTAACTTTCTGAAAGCAAAGTGTTGCATACTGGTTACAAGTGTTGGCCTGGGATCTGGACTGAAATCCCCATTTGACTGTGAAGCTCACTGGGTGACTTTGGACCAGTCACTGACTCTCAGCCTAAACCTCAACAAACTGGATTGTTGTGAAGGCAAAATTAGGAGGGGAATTGTGTAAGTCGCCTTGGGTTCTTTGCAGGCAGAAGAGAGGGTTATAAAATTCTGAGGTTTTTAATGCTGTGGATTTTCAAATCTTATTTTCAAGTAAAGCTTCAAGTAAAGTTGGAACAATTGTATGGGTTGGGGAAAGAGCGTCTTTTCTCTATTTCTTCATGACTTTGGTTTTCAGCTTACCAGTGGAAAAGATAGCGGAAGATAAATGATAACTTTAGAGATATGCTGGTCAACCCAAAGGTTCATGTAGTCAAGTATTTTATTTATACAGTGATAAATCAGCTGCCTGTGGGGAACTCACAAATAGGAAGTGGTTGGGAGGCTATAAAGGGATGGCACATAGGCAGAGTACTAAAGTTAATCAAAGTAGTTGTATTGCTTGGTTAAACAATAGTTGGGGTTGACTGTTCTTGCTTTCTCATGTGTAACACTGGAAGAAGTCTTTTTAAATATTAATTTGTATGTGCACTAACACACTTCAGTTTTGTCAGCAAACCATTTTTACTTTCTCTCCAAAGGCTACTTCAGAACAGTAAAAGGTTTCCTAAATGCTTTTTAATAGCATCTGAACTGTAACTAATGTTGGATGTATCTTTTAAAACAAATAAAGCCAGGATCAGTGCCTCTTGTGTAACATTACTATAGCATCGTGGTTATCTTCACAGACACTTATGAAACCCATACAGCATTTGTTAAATGTAAAATGTTATGTATATAATTCTCTGCATAGATGAGGGTTTTCTTTAACCACCTGGTCCTTGTGTGTACAAATACAAAATCCTAGACACTGTGTTTCAAGTCTTTCAACTGGATATAAAACAAGTAGATTTGTCTAAGGAAGCATAATACAGCAAACTTGCAGGGTCTGATCAGTGTCTGAATGTGAAATTGCTACATTGAGTTGTGAACCTAAGAAACTTGTGTTTCTCTCTCTGCATGTATGGATTTTACCTGCTAGTGGTAAGACCCTATACCTTATAGCAGGGGTAGGCAAGGTATTTGGGCTGTGGGCACATCTCATAATTTAAAACCTGAGCATCCTTGGAAAAGGGCTGCCATGGGAGATGCAGGCACTCTGGACATGGTCCATCAGCTTTCAAATCCACATAATGCTTCATAGAAACAGAGTCAGAAGGGGCCTCTTGGGCCATTCTACTCTGAACCCCGGCTCCAGCCGGCTTCGCTGATGACATGCCTACCACGTTGCATGTCCAGCCTATCCCTGAACACCCTCACTGACAGGGCTTCATCTAGCTCACCTCTTGCCAGTTTGCTAACAATGATACGGTAGTGGACCTTGTCAACAGTTGCAGAGGTCATGGTGTGCCCACAGTATTTGTCTGATCTACCAAACTAGTAGCATCATTGAAATAACACTAGTCACCATCGTTGCCAAATTGTCATTCTTTAAACGCAATATGAGATAATCGTTGCATGGCAGATGAAGAACAGAATTTCTGTGCCGACTGATTCATGTGTGTTCCTCAAGTCAGTTTCACTGTGTTAAGTAAGACTCACTGCTATGTTAAGTGTGCTTGCATCAGTCTTAATGTTAGGATTGTGACACTTCCATATTCCAAATCTCTGGATGGATCTCTATTAGAATTTTATTTAACACATTTTTACCCCATCCTTTACAGGGGTCTCAGGACAAAAAACCCCAGCATATATTAAGGCATAAATCTAATAAGAACCAATATTAAAACCACATTCAGATCTTAAAATACTGCGAAAATAAAAGGGGTTGGCCTGGCACCGAAATGAATAAAGCGTCTGTTCTGGGGAGCATGTTCTAAAGCAGGGCTCCACTGCAGAAAAGGCCCTATTCTGGATAGCCGCTCTTCTAAGTTTCAGCTAGGGCTTTTGGAGAAGGACCTCTGACCTGGATCTTAGGGGGTGGGCAGGTGTATAAGGAAGGAGATGCTCCTTCAGCTACCTAGGGCCTAACCATTTAGGGTTTTATCACTAATTGATACCTTAAATTGGGCCTGGACTTAACTGTAGGTAAAGCAGATAGTAAAGGACCGGTCCATGTCAGAAGCCTGGCTGCTCTATTTCGGTCCAACTAAAGTATCTGGACCATCTTCAAGGGCAGCCCCATGTCGAGCGTGTTACAGTAGTCCAATTGGGAATTGCTCCTCTTTATGCTGGAGCACTGCCACAGTATATATACAAAACACATTTATAACAGTTGGGGTACATGCTAATGAATACAGCACAGTTTCCACTGTTGAAAATGTGATGTGTTACACAATTGCAATTGCAGGAAAAGTAGGAGTTGGAAAGTTGATGTGTGCAGGGAAATGGCCTTTTAAGGTTAATTTGCTTTTGTTATCATTTATTTCTTAGATCAGTTAACTAGATGCAGGAATGAAGGAGTGGATATGTTGTTTAAGGGAAAAAGATCGACATCTTTACCTGCTGTTCAAAAACCATCGCGGAATTAGAGAAGGGGTTGGGAGAGAAGAGGGGGATTATGTGGTGCTGCTTGCTACCCCCCACCCCCAGCACCATGGGAGGAAATCAATGGGATCGTCACCTCCATTCCTTTATCAGCAACAAGAAAGTGTGGACCCTGCCCCATGCTGACTTTCAAATGAGTAAGCTCCAAGCTGAAGTTAAGATTCCCTGAGAAAGGCCATTGAACAGATTGTGATTGACTTCTGAGCAGATGAGCTAGTAATTCCCTGAGGCAATAAGACAAGGGAGATAACTGGGAAGGCATGAAAAGCCATGGGAAACTTGAAAGGGGAGGGGAGGGGGAAGCAGGATAGCATTTGTTGTCTATTTCACTGGGGAAGTGGGGAGAAGAGAGGGCTGTGAATGGGCGAGTGGACAAAAGAGGCTAAAAAGCTGAAGTCTGGCTGAGCTTCTTCAAGTTGCATCGGTTTTATTGATGTGCCACTCATTAGCCTAGTGAAGTTACTCCTCTGTCCCAGAACAGTATCACAAGTTTAGCACATGCTGGAATATGTACCTAATAAAACCTTGTGATATAACTGGGCAAAAGAGATCCAGGAGGTAATGGGAGAAATAATGTGAGGATTCATTTTGGGGTCAGCATCAGGTGACATCCCAATGGTCAAGCATTATAATGCCATTAAAAATGCTTGGTGTAGATTCTCTGGGTGTACAACTCTGACACTTTTTGAATTTTTATCTAGTGGCATCACCTAAATTTATCTTCAGTTCTGCAGATAGAAATGACTATCACTACTACAACTATTCTGTTCTCTGGATCACACAAATCCTGTGTATTTTGCTTAGAGATAGATGGATCCAAATAACAGCTAGATTTTGTATTTTCCTCCAAATTGAGGAATTTCTCATGATTGCCCCAGCAGGGTAGAAGCAACCTAGCAGAAGTTAGTACTACTATTAGACAGACAATGATGGGCTGGTACCTAGGAATCATTTATTATAGGACAGATTTGGACAAGGATATGACAGCATGCCTCCAGTTTTCAGCTTGAACTCCCAGCTAAAACCACATTGACTTTGCTATTGCTGTGGCTTTTAAGCAATGGCTTTAAGAGGAAAGCTTCCTTTTTAAAGTGAGACTTCTGAGGACTTCTAAGGGCAGCAAAGTATATAGGTATACAGACTCTGCATATATTATATGTAGAAGCAGGGGATGGTGAAAGTCAGCTGGAAAGCCGGGTTTTGTGGTCTGTAGATTTTTTTAAGCAATGACTCACAGCAGTGGAAGGACGGGATAACATGGTGCTCCGGTGGTGTCCCCAGGACACCTGTGGGAGGTCTGAAGGGAGCAGAGGGTGCCTGCTACTCACTGTATGCCTGATCATTCCCTGGGGCCACATGGAGGCTAGCACGGCTTATCAAGCTGTGTGAACCTACAGATGTTCAATGAGCTACAGCCCCACTTGGACAATGATACCTCCTTTGCATAGGCCTTGGGTGAGAGGTCTGTCCTTCCTGTAGTTCGTATCTCACCCAACTTAAAGCTGCTGTTAACTAGGAAAAACAAACTACAGAAGAAGGATACAAACACAATCATATCCTGCAATGAATAGAGATGCCAACTCTGTCTCCATATCTGCTCTGAAAACATTATTTTAGGACCTAATGATGTCTCTCGCAACATAAGTGTGTGTTCTGCCAATGTGGTTGGTAAATGCCATCTGCCAACAGTGCACTTCTCCATTCGATATAGGACCAACCAACAAGTCTCTGGCCAAGAATGGGAACCTCAAGCCTGACGACAAAATTTGCTTTGTCAGACCTCTGAATCCAGCCTAAGAAGCTCTCCACATTGGCTTCTGATGTTGTCTGCTATCTTTTCTTTTGTTGGAATTGTTTGTGATTGTGCCTTGAAAATTTCCTTTAAAAAACCCCCAAAACTCCTACCCTTCCTGGACTCCTTTTTCCTTAGGGTCACTTGACATATGACCCTACTTATAATTGCCCTGAGTTTATTAAAATCAGCTTTCCCAATATCCAGAGTCCATTTTTTCTTCCTTTAAAATCAAGAACTCTGGTATGTTGTGGTCACTTCCTACAAGATTTCTCACAGAGTTGAATAACTTCTTGGAACTCCTGTTTCCACCCACCCCATCATGCTATCCCCACCAGTCCCCCAACTTTGTACTAAGGACAGAGCAAGTCACACACACACACACACACACACACACACACACACACAGAGAGAGAGAGAGAGAGAGAGAGAGAGAGAGAGAGAGAGAGAGAGAACTGTTCACTGGTTCACTTTTCCCTGCTTGGCCAGATCTAGTGACTGGTGCTCCTTCTCTTCACCGTTGCCACCTCCTCCCTCGATCCCCAAGGGACAGCTGTAGGTGAGAGAATGAGCAGGGCTGGGGAGTGAGCAGTTACTCTTTACTACATCCTTTGTCTGATAGGTAAGGATGGATATATTTGTCTGTTTTACTTGCTCCTGCATTTCAGCCTGCTAAGTCTGAAATATGCAGAACTTCATGAAAGATGGTAAATTAAAATGAAATAAAAAATAAAAAATGAACCGAAACAACATCCTCACCCATCCCTGTTTCTAGATATTTACCTTCTTCTAGCATTGTGGATGGGCTTAAGGGCGCTGCATGGCTCCTTTTGGTGTGCAGGGGGTACATGGACTTCAGTTCCTTATTCAGGCAGTTCTGAATGAGAAACTGAGAAGTACGAACTAATTTCAGCATCATTTCCCCCACTTACTGTTTTGAGTGATCCCACAAGCGCATAATGATAACTTGCTCCCAAATGAGTTCTGGAAACAGGTTTTCTGAGGATACCCATGGAGTAGCATGGTAGCCTCTGGCTGAATTCTTTCAAGGTCCGGATTTGGCTCCGCTGTGACACACACTGATTTCACTCCTGTCTGTGTGGGCCGCACTCTTGCTGAGTGTGGGGGAGAGTCGTTTGTCATGCAGATGGTAGGTGCGTGTGCCAAAGAGTTGCTTGGTTAGAGCTAATTCTGCAATGAAGCTACTTTAGGCATTTAGACCCATACACTTCACCAATAAAACAAGCACAGCACTGCAGTTCATTGCATTTTCTAGGATCTAGGAATGTATGGATCTTGTTAAATTCATTCTGTCTGTGATTTAAGGATTGTCAGGGATCTTTCATTCCATCATCTGCTCATTGACAAAAGCAGATTTGTTGTTTTAACCAGAGTTCCATTCCACTTGTGTTAATTCATATTCATTTGCATGAGTGTACTAATTTGTATCAAAACAGATCTCTCTCAGCATTAAAACAAATCCACAAGTCCATGTGACTTGGAAAAAAGTAGCTTGCTGTGGAATCTGCAGGTCGGATTTATAGAAATCTGAACTTTTCTGAACCTTTCACAGTTTCTTCTGACACCCCTGGCAGAGACATGGTTCTCTATTAATTGAAATGTGTGCAAGAATAACAGCCTATGTAAAGAAGTCCTAGCCTGAAATCAGTTCATATTAGAATTTTCCAAAGGTAGCAATGATATATAGCATATTGGAATGAGGAAAACATGCAATGGTATAAGATGAATCAATTTCCTCCTTTTATTATACAGGATTGTATGTACAAAGCCCCCTCTCTTCTTCCATGCCTCAGTCTCATAGTTGGGTCTTAGGAAAACAAAAAGCCTAGAAAGCAGGTCTAAAATAGCTCAAAATAACAAAGTCACCAAACTTTGCAGGAGGAGGCAACAGATTGGGCAATAGAAAAAAGAGAGGACGAACAAAACACTTGCCTATATTTACTTGCCATGGGTATTATTGTCAACAAAGAAATTGATTGTAAAATGTTGTGCTTCAAGAGCAAAGATTCTCATCTAACAAATCCAAAGGAAAGGAAATTCCACAGTGTCAGGAACTGGTGTGTGTCTTCCAGCAGAAATCCTTTGCATAATTTGTAGAATCAAGTCCTTTAAAAATGGCTGAGACAATAGTGCTCTCTCTCTTCCTAAACATGTTTTGACGGTCTGTAGGACTGAATTGCTCTTCATACATTGCATCATCTATGGCTGAAGTTGATGACTAGGAGCAAACTACCTTGGAGTTGTTTGTACAGAGAAAGGAACACTGCAAACAAACAAATGAAAAGTGCAATTCTGCAGGATGTTTCAGTTCAATAACAGTACAACATACTTGCTTCTCTTTTGTCTTTGTGAGTGTAAATGGGCTAAAAGGGGATCCTTAGATGAAAATGAGAAGAACCTTATTTTCTCCTCATCTTAGACTCCTTATATCACAAACTGGAAATATGCACGCCCACACTGCTATTGGCTTCAGTTGTCATGTGATGTGGGTGGTGGCGGGGGATCTACACTGCCACGTGATCATCTCATCTTTTCCCTTCCTTTAGAACTGGATTTGGCAGACCTTATCTTTATGAACAACAAATAAATGATTTCATGGAACTTCAGTGAACAACAAGAGCACTGGCTAGGTTGTAAAGTGATCAGTCTCACCCCTCTTTCTGAAAATTTTGAGTTTAATAGGTGCCCCCTATTATATCTTCTAGTCTAACTGTACTCAGTGCTCACCCCTACCTTTGTAGCAGAGACCTGCCACCTGCCTTAACCTTTCCTGATGCTTAGGAAACTGCATGGAGGAAGACGGTTAGTCACTCCTTTCAGAATGATCTGTCAAGAGCCACGTTCTTGGTCCATCTTTCCAAAGGGCACACTGCACATCAAGACATGTTTTGAAAGTTGCAGACTCTGTAAAGCTGTAAGGTGGCTCTGCCTTGACACTATTCAAAGGAGGCAAGTGGCCCAGTAGGAGGCACCATGCCCCTAGTTGTCCTGGTCATGATCCGGCTTCCGAAAGCAAAACCACAAATTGCACATGGCAACATAGTTTTCTTTCTCTTCACATTGCACATCACTGTCGCATCTGTCTTAGGAACAAGACTCTTTATGTTGGTTCTTTCTTTCTTTCTCCCTCCCTCCCCCCTCTCTTTCTTTTCCTGGTGCTAGAAAGAAAAATCCAAATCTTCATCTGTCATCAGGAGACCATTTCCATGGTCTAGTTATTGGAGGCCAAAGGACAGGTGATGCTTGTACCAGCAGCAGGGCTCCGAGTCTGCAGGACAAGGATGGGCTGTTTGGGGGTGGGCAATGAGGAGGATCCACTGGGATGACTAGTTTGCTGTGTACTACAAAACAGCTTGGAGAGATTGGTCCATGGTTCTCCTTCTCGAATGCCAGGCAGAGATGATAGCACTCCTGCATGTTATGCTTGTCTGGGTCAACATGCCAAGCAGGGTTTCAGCTCTTGCTGTCCTCCCTCTTTTCATGGCCACTGTGTTGAACATGCTAAAATGGAGGGGTACGAGGAAAAAAAGAGGGTTTTAACACAAGCGCCATATGAATGACTTAAAAGCACTGTGGTTCATGTTCAGTGGTGAGGAAGCATTTTTTGTAGGAATTGCTGTAGTTCAAGTGTGGAGAGCATGCGATGCATGCAAATAGTGTTATTTTTTATTTATTATATTCATATCTCATGTTATTTTTCCCTTTCAAGGAACTCAAGGCAACTTGCATAGTCCTCCTCCTCTCAATCTTATCCTAGCAACAACAACCTTGTGAGGAAGGTTGGGCTATAGAAACCAACTAGAATGCCTCCTTTTTCATAGTGGATAGGCAGGGTACCAAGTCCCTTATTAAATAATGCAATGTGATTTATACAAAAGAGCTCATTCTAGTGTAATGGTTGCAGAGAGAAAGCAGAGAACACGGGTGATGTTTTTACTAAGTGTTTGCAACATGGGTAGGCAACTGCAAGGGGCAATTTTCAATTAGTCTGGATCTCAAGTGAACCACGCACTGAGGGGCGCTGCCTATTCTGCAGGGCCAGTGCTAAAAAATATACCCCAAAGCTATATTTTAGAGCTCCATAATGGCCATGCAGCCATTTCATGCCCAGTATTGTTTCACTGCTGCATTCAGAGCAGCACGGGTGGGTGCCTCTAACAGCCTGCAGGCTGCATGTTGCTCAGCCCTGGTTTCCAGTCTAAAATCTACTGGAAGGTGGAGAGTGCTGACTTCCAAAAGGTTTAAAAAAGTGTGGGAATGTCATAGTATTTTCTGCTAACTCTTCGAATTCCTTCTCTCTCTGCATTCCTGTGGCTTGTGAGATCTGCTGCAATCCTCTTTCTGTAGGCCACGGCAAAAGAGCTGTGGGTGGGAGTGTACACCAAAAACAAAAATCAGGACAAATGATTTGACAAATGAAAGAAAAAAGTTGTACGATTGAATTTAGGCATGCAAATCTATCTTATATCTAATCTTTTGTGTCAGCATAATTCATCCAGACAGCAGGATCTGGGTCTCCTGACTGTGACATTTCATTAAAGGATTTTACACGCTCTTAAATTTACCTGGTTACTGTAGGCTGGAGTCCTCCGCATCTGTGTAATGGCTATTCTCCTGAAAGAAAGTGAGAAGAAAAAAAAGAGAAAAGGGATTGTTTGTGTGTGTGTGTTTGTGGAGGGGTTTGACTGAAATTTTGCACAGCTCTGTCTCCAACTGTCTGTCATGAGGGCTACGGTATGTTTCCTTGCCGTTTATGCAAACCGTCATATTTTTGAGGAGAAATTTTCTTGGATCAAAGCAATTTTGATTAGTAAGAGACTGACAGTTAAGACAACCTGGATGTGTTGCAAGGTGAACTTGGAAGGGCAGATCTCATTCGATAGCAGCACTATGCCTTGTGCCTCCTGGACAACCCCCCTCTCAAAGAGCTGCACAGGTTGCAACGTTACAAATGCCTATTTATTCTAGGAGCAGGCGAAGGAAGAGAAAATCGCTTTTCTCAGAAATATGAGCAGTTAAAATAGCACCAGGCTGAGGAATTCGTTCAAGTGGGAGAGTGTTTTCCTGTGTTTTCTTACCAATTCATCTTCACAATCATCTTGCACAAGGCCTTCTTCTTCTCCCTCTTCCCCGTTTAGTGGCTCCTCTGTGTTCATTTCTGCCTCTGATGCTGTGTCTTCTTGGGAAATCTCACTTTTGTTTCCATCTGCTTTCTTTCTAACTTCTGGAGAAGATGCAAAGGACATGCATGCACAACACACACAAAGCAAAGAGGGGGAGGTGGGGGGGGAGAGAGAATGATTCTAGCGATGCTCCAGGTTTGAAGGGGCCCTGGGCAAAATGCTCTGTGGTGTCCCCAGGCTCCTCAGCAGGAAGGCCTTCTCAGTGCCATTTACCTGTTAGTGACAAGGGTCACAGGAGAACTCCCAGGAAACATTGGGCAGTGGTGAGCTGCTGTTTTATCCTCCCATAATGATCCTGAGGGATGCTATGCTGGGTTGCATTGGAGGGAAGTAAAATGGCAGCTAAATCCAGCTGCTTGGAACAGCTGTCCAGAAAAGAAAATCAAAGGATCCCCCTCCCCACACCAGGACAGATGCCAGCAGTGGCCCTGCCAGGATTCTGCAGCCTAATAGCTGCCCAAGCATGTCAGGTGTTGACCAGCCCCAAGAGATCTCACCTCATTCCTGTTGTGCTTCTACCTATTTAAGAGTTGCTCACATTAAAGAATGGTTTGGGAATCTCCCTGCATGATAGATTTTATTTCTTATCCCATGGGAGAGAGAGGAGAAATTATGGGAGCAACCTGGATGAGTGATGGAGAGCTTAGGGGTTTAAGCTTAGCAGGATGTAACTGTCCTAGGTAATTTTGTGAGATGGGACAGAAGCAAGCATGATCTCCTAATAAGGGTTTAAGGGGTGGCGGTCTCCATGTGGTTTTATAAAAGGGGACTGGAGTAGCTCCAAGTGCTTACTATGGGGGTAGAGAACTGTTCTGGGGACATCTTACTTCCTGGGAGACACTGTAGGGAAAGATAACATTGGAAATGCTGTCTTTCCCTTCAGAGGTCCCGCCCACTGATATCACCTGATTTCTTTCTCCATCTCTTCATGAAGATAGAGGCAGACTATCTTCATTTAGTGTTTAGTGCTAGAGAAAGGCAGCTCATAGGGCAAAAACTGGTGGGCTGGAAGTGAGTTCCAATGGTTTGGATGTTGCTGTTACTCTGTGTCAGTGGTATCCTTTGCAGCTTCTATATTGAGACTTATAGCAGCTATCCATGGTGTGTGACCTATTCTGGGGATGGATTGCAGCACCATGGACAGATCCTATAAAGCTCAGAATAAAAGCTGAAATGAGTAAATAATTCCACTGGCATCGGAATCACCAGCTTCCCTTGTTCCTTCTTTAGTGACTCGAAGCAAAACCACCTTTTGCAGGTGTTATTAAAACCCACCTCTGAGGAAAGGTTAGGAAAGGTGAGGAAATGGCATATGATGGTTTTTTAAAATGCTTACTGTGATTATTTTCTTGTTGCAGAAGTAGCTATTTCTGCTGTAACTACTCAGTGGGCACACATCCAAAATCATGAAGTTGGTTGACTCACTTTAAGATCTGTGACTAGCTAGAAATGCTTACCATGGTCTCACCCTAGTGATACTCTGGCTCATGAAGGCATCATTGCAAGGATAAAACCAAACAAAATCAACACTCTCATTGTCTTGTGGAAAGCTGGTGGTCTTTTGAAACCATCTATTTCTGTTCCCTTGAGCCCTGCTGTCACTGCTTTTATGATAAAAATGCAACATATTGACACCATTTAGATGCTCTAGAAACAATTACTGGAACAGGAGAGTGGGACCCGCTCCTGAAGGACAGCTGCAAAAGAAACACTCAGTGCAGCCTGTCATCCCATTTAGGTTGGTTGGTAGCATGCACTCGCTTTCTCCCTGCACCTGCATTCCCATATCATGGCCTAAATGATGGGCACCTTTGTAGACAGCCAACTGACCTGTTGATGTTTTCTGTTGTTCAGCAATTTGCTCCAATCTGCCCAGGAGAGCATCAATGTTGGATTTGATCTGTGTCAGTTCGGTTTTAATTGTCTGCAGTTCACTGCATTTCACTTGAAAGACAGGAAATTGGAAGTAAAACTTTCATTTCTATATTTAGCAAAGTTGTGATTATCATGAGAAGAGATTTAGGAATTTTTCTTATATACATTTCAGTAGCAGTCATAACAATATAAGGCTGCTCTATTCAGTATAGGACAGGGTCCTATTAACCGTTCAGAGCTGTGAAGAAGAAACCTCATTTTGCTAACCCTAACCCTACTCTAATGCACAAACCTAACCCAAATATAGTGTTTCAATAACATTGAAAAGGGAACGATTTTGAAAAAGTCTTCTTTGAGTACCTTTTCCAACACAATTCATCATTTCTGCCCATTCTAAACACATCGCAACCTTCCAAATCTCAACAAGACACCTCGTTATTCTAACCCTAACCCTGCCATAGGGCAGATGCCTAACCTTAATATAGGGGTAAAATACCATTGAAAATAGGGCAATTCTGGAAAAGCCTTCCTGAAGTACTGTTTTCTGCACAGCTCACCATTTCTGCCCATTCTAAACACATTCCAACCATCAGAATCTTAACAGAACACCTTGTTTTTCTAATCCTTATTCTTAGCTTGCCTTCTGCTATTTTATTTCTGTTCTGCCCCAGTAGATGGTCAATATTTTTGACCACTGAATATGCTGAATTCTCATTGAGCTGGGTGTCTTTTTCTTTCTCCTCTTTTTTCTTTCTCTTTTTTTCTACTTCTGCAACACTTTGGGTTCCCATTGATCCTGTTGACAGTGTCCTCTTTTTCCCCAATGGAGCAGTTTAGGTGACATCACTATTACAACTTAGCACCTGAATAGCAGCTGCTGGTATATCCACATGGAACCTGTGTGGAGTGCTCCTGTTCAGAGTTCCCACCAACGTTGCCTCTTTTCAGGAGATGTCATGTGGTGGTTTCCTGGCTTTTGTGGTGTTCTTTCCTCATGCAATTTTGGGACATTTATTTCCTAAGGCTTAGTTACCAGTGGTAAGAGCTGTACAACTAAAATATGCTGAGAGGCATGTATTCTTCCTGGGTATCTGTACGGAGGGTGTGTGTGTGTGTTAAAAGTAATCATGAATCTATCTATCTATCTATCTATCTATCTATCTATCTATCTATCTATCTATCAGCACTGCCATTTTTGCTCTTGGCCCAACCTACCACTGGAATGAGGCTCTGAGCAAAGTCTCTCTAAAGGAAATCCCTCCCTCGGGCTCAAAGGAGTTCTGAACTCCAGCTCTAGTGTGACTTTTGGGTGAGCTGTGACCATTTTTATGTTTTACCAAGTATTTAGCTTGATGAAATTTTCTTTCTGCTCTATGTTTCACTTTTATCTAGTCCTGTTTTTAATGCTTGCTCTAATTTGTTGTTGTAAGTGTTAAAATAATTGCAATTCCATTTCCTGAGATCATAAACTGGCTTAAAGGCCAGAAGGTGGGGTATAAATGCTTTTATAGGAAAGAAATGCATAAAACACATACAGTCACCCTTCTTCCACTTTAAATCTGTCCATAACCTATGGTGAGTATGTGACACAACATTGAAAGCGGCCTTGCGTTCTTTCAAGTATGAATGATACATTTTTGGGATAGATATAGACACTTACGTTTTAATTTGGCAGAGCTGTTTGCAATGGCAGCAGAGCGGGCAAAGAGTTTAACTGGGAGTGTTGCTTTTACACGTCTTACTAAAGGGATTGTCACTCGCGGACGCTTCACCGGAACCACCCTTGGTATGGGAGAGACCCGTCCCCGATACTCAAAGAGCCTGCAAGACAATATAATTACAGGATAAATGATCTTACAGCAGGGGGAGCACAGAACTAGACTGGGGGAAACATATGTCATCTCTCACTGTAACAAGCTCTGAAGAACATAAGAAAAAAATCACAGTGATCCCCTAGAGGGAGCCAGCGTTCCATCTATGCATGGTGACCATTACTGCCAGCGATATAAATACTGCTGGGGATGATATTTGATCATGAAGATTCCGGAAGGCACATTCACCAAGCCATTACGCTGTGAGATAATGCTGTTAAAACTCACATAGCAGTCTTTTACTTAACAAATCACTATAACCTGAAAGACTGTGACTTTTAATGCCTTTTTAAAACACTCACCATAATGTTTCTCCTCTTAGAATTAACTGAGGGAGTTCCAAGGACTTCAGGAATGATACATTTTGATTTTCTATGCCTTCCATTCATGTATCCCTTATATCTGTATCTTAGGGTGACTGGAGACAGCTGAGTATTTGAAGGGTCTGGCTTAAACATAAAGCTCCCAAAGAGAGAAGACCATCTGGGGCCGAAAAGTTGTTCATCTACAGATGGACCTGGACTGTAGCAGCATTTGGCACCCTGCTCAGCTCACCAGGCCACAGTCTTTCCTCACACTAGGATGAGATGTCTTGTATTCCTATTTAAACGACACATTTATTTGCATCTGTGCATTTTATTCAGCATATGCAAACTGGTGTCCTTATTTTTCCTCTTTTTTGGCAATGCCTAAGTGGCCACCCTATTCAAGTTGCTTGGCTTATGGTGTGGATCCAGTAAGAAAAAATGCACTTATGCATTGCCCCAGAAGAGTAAATAGAAGAGGAAAATAGAAGACACAGCTTTGCATGATATTTGGCTATCCACATACACTTTTCATACATAGGTGCACATTCAGACATTCTTATTATTAGAATTAGAATTTAAATAGAAATGCAAGACATCTCACCATACTTGGGAAGACGATCAAGTGACCTGCATGCCCTGCTTAGGCTGCTGTCCATGTACTGTTGATAGGAAATTTCATGGCCCCTGTTCTTCCTTCCTATGCTTCTTTATCTTGAACTGAACAGGCCTTCAGCTGGAGGATGACTGCAGACAGAGGAGTGTCCTCCAATAATCCTTCAAATAGAAGACTATCCTCTTTAAAGTAGTATACATGGGTATCCTACGCACAATAATATTGCCCAAACTACATTCAGACAGGGAAAAACAGTCGCTTAGTCACTGCCTTCTGTTCCCTTGAGCTGAGCAGACTGTTCTTAAAACTAATGGCCATGGGCTTTAGCCAGGCTAAGAAGGCCAGGATGCTCAGGCATCTCAAGGACTTATTGGGAAAATGTCAAATTGTGGAAGAGTGTGAATGCCTAAAAGAAAGTTGGGAAAACAGGTGAGATGGTGCATTGCTTAGAATGTTGGACTAGGATTTAGGAGTTCTGGATTCTAATCTTCACTTGGTCCTCAGCCACTGACTCTCAATCCAAGCTGCTTTACAGGGTTATTATCAGGATAGAATAGAAAAGAAAAGAATTCTGTAATCTGTCTTAGGTTCCTTGTAGGAAAGAGACTTTAATTAATTAATTAATTAATTAAAAGCTTTTGTATGCAGTCCTATTGTACAAGATCTCAAGACAGCTTACAATTTTGATGATGATGATGATGATGATGATGATGTGAAAAGTACATGGATCTGTACCATGAACCTACATATCAAAAGCAGGACCATTCCCAGATCTGCTAGAGATTGCTTCTGTACCCTGGGGAAAGTGCAAGCTCCAGCTACATGCTACATCTTTTTAAAGAGTTGGGGATTTGCATCTTCCACAAGTGGAAAATCCATTAGCTGAATTTGGAAAACTCCAGATCTTTGGCCTCTTGAACCCTTCCATACCTGACGCTTGATTCTATGAGCTGAGGTGCTAAGGGACTTAGGGTTGTACAAGAATGTTTTGTTGCATTTTGGCATACCATTTGGTTACAATGCCGGAAGTCCCATTCCACTTATTTTTCATTTGGCAATATCCTACATGTACTGGCAAACATGCATTGATGCTCCAGTTGTTTTTAACTCCCAACTGCCTTCAGCTCCCACCCCCTGGTTTGCTTTATTTTGTTGACTTCTGCACACACTCCTGGAAGTTACCATCCCCTCATGCCCCAAACGTTGCATCCTTCTTGGGGAATGTGGGAAAAGTAATAGGACCTTCAGCTGGTGGTTGCATTTTCCATCACATGTCATGTCCTGGAATGCACATCTCAGGCATTCTGGGAAAAATAATATGGTGGATACTTGGAGTGGCTATTGAAGCCAGCTTCTTCCAGCTCATTGAGCAAAGCATAGTATGAAAACAAAGCCATATCAAGCTTCATCTGCCACCTCTGCTGGGGAGAGTAAGACCCATCTCCTATCAATGGGGCACACATTCATCTATCTGCAGCACTCATTTTGGGACAAGCAGAAATTGAACTGAATGGGGCCTATTAATTTTAGTTTTCAATTTCCCCCCAAATGAAGGCAGACTCCCTAGCCATGTAGGGATCCACACTGGAGTGTGAAGTAAAACCTATCCTTTGTGCTGGCATGCTGGGACTTGATCTGTCTTTCTGAATAGCTCTCAAGGGTCATTCAATAATTTGGCAAAGATGGAATGGTGCAAGGAAGGCACCTTCCTCTTATGCTTTGGCATGGCATGGTGTGCACTTCCACTGGCCATCTGGAACTGTAAAGAACTGCTGCTTATGAAGGTCAAATGATCACATGGCAGTGGAACAAGTAGTGGCCAAATAGCTTCAAGAATTCTTGAGTGATGTGGATAATCTGTACCCATAACAAACGTTTGGGGCAGAATTTGAGACTCAGAATGTACATCTCAGTAGACATGTATAGGATTGTTCTGTTCTGTCAAATTTCAGATTTTGTTCATTTGTTTAAATATAAAAGCATTTTCCAAAATGGATTTTTAAAATAAAATGCTGCTATTTTGAAATTCAGATTTTCAGATTTCATATGAATATCTGTTAGTGTTTGATCTGGCATTACATAAAAGACCAATTTATCAACAATACTGAACAATATTAAAATATAGCTACATTAGTTTCTTTCTTAATATAGTGAATTGAGTCAGTACAGAAAAATTAAGGCAATCAAAATGTTGTGTACATAAGCACAATGGTTTTTCTTCTTACTGTATTTCTTTTTATTATATTCAAAGGAAGTTGAAGCATTGGTCCATATGAAGAGATACCTTTGGCTGCATCTAATATGATCCATTAGGATTATGTAAACTACCTATATAGCTTTGGGTATGGAGAGGTATAGAAATAAAATAAATAATCATCCTCATCCTCATTCTCCGCATCATCATTTTCTCTGTATTTTCCTCAATAGGACACTTTGATTTTGGAATATCCTCTCATCGAACACACGCCTGCCATTAGCAATGTCCTGTTTTTGCTTCCAGATTAAAACCCTTTGCATTAATTAATTATTGTTATCTTAAAATTAAACCCTTTTTAACCAGTTGGCCTAGTTTTTATGCCACTCCATGTAACTGTACTGTTGTTTAGATTTTACTTTTCTATTGTAGTGAATGCAGGGTCAGGACAAAAATGCTGCTTCTTCAGGCGGTGAAATAAATGGCACGCTCCATCCCTGAGTCACACCCAAAGCTGGCCATGTTATTTTGGTACATGAGACTACAAATCATACAAGCACTTCTCCCCATCCCTGGCAGTAAAAATACAGCAACGCATTCAATACATGACCTTTTATGACATCTGGAATCCGCTGCCAGAGTTGGCTACCTCCATCTGCCTTCTAGCATGGCTCCCCTGACCTGTGAATGCCACCCTGATATTCTTTTGGGGGTGAAGGCACAGGTTACACATTTCAAAAATAGTTAATATATCATTTCCTTACCTGTCATAGAAGTCATCTCTGTAGTAGTCGTAGTCAAAGTCATAGCCACTGTAGAACCAAAGAAGACTGATTAAGTATTATAACTTCTCCTGCCAATTACTATTTACCTCTTTATGCCAGCTTGAATTAAATAGCTGAATTTCAGTTCTGGAGCTTTGGAAGAAAAAAAGGAATGCTTTAACTTAGTCCCAGCTCCAGGATTTGAGGACCTTTTGGCAAGGTGCCCTCAATGGCCTCCCTCTCTCCGTTGCTCTGTCTTCTTGCTAGCATCATCACTGGGCATCCTTCCTTCTCATCCTTTTTCTCAGCATTTCCCACACCTCCTTGCTTGAGAAGCAGGAAGTCCATGACCCTGTCAGCAAGGACATCTACTCATCCTCCTCTGCACCATCTCCATTGTACTGAGAGATGGCTTGACTGAGAGGCAGGTGAGCAAGCACACTGTGGTGTTGAAAAGGAAGAACAACCCAGTAGACTCCAGTCTGTGGGCCGCTGAAGGGGTGCGGGACCCTGGCAGGTACCCATTCATCCCTAACCTTGACACGTGCCCTACTCGGTTTTGATGCCCTTCTGCATCTGAGAAGTAGAGCAATTTTCTTAGAAAATCTGCAGTTGCACATGTGTGTTATCACACACAGAGATTCATCAGGGTCTACAGGAAAAGATGTCAGTATAACACTTTCAGTTATAATAGCTCTTTCCTGTCCTCATAACTGAAATGCAGAAGCAGCCTCAAGAAGCCATATTGGGCTGCCAAAGGGCAGTATAGGGACATTCCTGAGAGATGCTGCCAAACGTTCTTGGCCAGAGGGTGTAGGGTTGGGAGGGGAACATCATCGGGGTCTGTGTGAGCACCTGCCATGTATGGGTTCGATATAGTCACTGCTGTCACAGTGCCGGTGGCTGACTTGATAACCTGCCGATTCCCTTTCTCTTCTGAGAGTGCTATTTTATACACTGTGTATGAACCTGTAATACTGAAACCCTTCATAGAAGAAAACTTTCAGCATGAATCCAGCCCGCAAATAGTAGAAATTGAAAGCTTTGACATTTCCTATTGAAAAGGAGCATAGCAACATATCAATTTGAAAGGTCGGCTAAAGAAGTGAAAATTTTAATTTTGGCTTGACATCTTTGACTTCACAGTGACATTGAAGTGGCTTTCAAGACAATAAAAAACACCAGAGATTTAAAGCTCAGCCCTCAGCATGGTGCAAAGATGCTAATCCTATTTCTCTTATGTTGCCAGATCTGTAGAGAATAGAAGGTTAGGCTTTAACCAAAGTGTCTTGGGTTCAAATTTTTGCTTACCCATGTTGATCACTCTGTGACCTTGTCCTGGTTGCTATCTTTAGCCCAGGGCTTAAGAAACTGTGTCCTCCATCCATTATTGTTGGACTCCCAGCAGCCTCAGCCATACAGCCAATAGCCAGGAATGATAGGAGTTGTAGATCAGCAACTTCTGGGGGCCTGTGGGGTGCACACCCTTCTTTTAGCTAAACCTTCCTCATTTGATTGTTTTTAGATGTGATTATGTGTGTTTTAAAGTATCCTCAAACCTACTTTTCCTGGAGGTCATTGTGCCTCTTGGATAAAGTTTGAATAGAAAATGCTTCTGCATTAGGGATTTTCTAGGTAAGGTATTTATTGTGTACCTGCAATTCCCTACTCTCAATTGTTTATGTGTTCTTGTGATGATGTCAGTACCCTCCAGTTTCACTGCTGTATCTGAAAAGCATTTTCAGTGAATCGTTTTAATGCAGGGAAAGTGAGGTATTCAATTATAAAACGGAAAGAAAATGCTTATTTCACTTGTGTAGTTGTGCTGTTCCACTGTACTACAGTGCTAGTTGGAGGGTATGAAGCAGGAAAAGAACCACTCTAAATGTAGTACTCGGATCTCAGTTCTGCAGTGAAATGAATCATAGATAACAAAGGACTAATTACAAAGGATAACAGAAAAATACAGAAAAACTCTGAATGCTGTCAATTTCTGAATTCTGAGGATTTTCTGACATTCTTTGATTGTCATGAAATGTGATCCTGAGCAATAAAACATGGATGCATGCACAGATTTACAAGAAGGAAATACATAATTGTACTGTAGTATGCAGATCACAATCACACATCATTGTACAGTTCTCTTTTTAATAAAAACCTTTTGTGAAAGAAGGCAAAACCACAAGTATTGAACACTTGTTGTGCAAACCCTTTGGAATGTCCACCTCATCCCTAATGGCTTAGACTCAAACCAGAACAACTATCTAGGAGTACTCAAGCACGTGTATTTTATCTAGAAGCTACCTGCCTGAACAGTATTTATTGGCCCCAAAAGAGACATTGTCTTGCTGTAGCCCTGTATCCACATGTCCCAATCCTCCTCCTCCTCCTCCTCCTCACCATCACCATATGTTCATACTGCCCAGTAGTTGAAGCTCTCTGGACAGTTCCAAATGGCAGTAGGACCTCCTCTGGCTACTGAAGCACATGAATAGATCCCTATGAGTGGAGGTGGTGTGCAACCTGTGCCCTGCTTATGGCCCTTGGCTGCTTGTGGTGCAGCTTGAGAAACTCCACCCATGATTTCTGCACATACCAGGTCATCAGATGTCTGTTTTTGTACTCCTATCCATGACCAGGATCATAAGGGTGGAGGAAATTGGCCTTAACTTCCCCTTTCTAGGTGTGTCACCATCAAAGGGTTCTGCAGAGGCCAATTTCCCTCCCCTCCTCAAAAAAAATGTTGCCCACTCGTGTTTTAAATATCCTGAGTCATTTAGGGCATTAAAAGGCAAAACAGTGCTGTGAATTAGCTCAAATGCGGTTGGTACAAATTACACTCTGAAACCATGGCCTCCATTACAGTGCTAACTCTTGCATTTTGCACCACCCGACTTTTTCACGCACGCAGATGATACTATGGCAACATAATTCAAACCTCAAACCTCATGGAGAGCACACCACAGAAACATTGCTTGGAGTTATTGAGCTACAACGTTATGTGTGCTTACTCAAGTGTACGTCCCATTGAACTCGGTATGATGTACCTCTGAGTAAATGCCTGCAGGATTGCACTGTAAGGCTCTTTAATCAGAAATAGCAGTTGGGCAATAAACAATTTCTCCTTTTTTAATGGTTAAGGAATGATGGATTCACTGCTGATAGTAATAATGAACTCCTCAGTGGCTTCTAGCTTGAAAATCAATGTGCTGTAACCATACAATGCCACCTACTTTCACCCCTGTATCTTCCTTTATTGTCTGAGTTTCTCTTTGCAATCCCCTATTTTTCTATGGAATTAACCTAAAGAACAGACAGCTGAATGTAATGCCACCTGCTCCCAAGCTGTATGTAAAGATTTACAAGGCTGGTGCAGATATTGATCCAGCCATAAATCACTGCTTTCAATAACTACTCCAATGGGCTCAATATGATAAATGCCACAAAATCGTTATGATGGTTTCCCATTTAATTTTAATTTCCACTTTTCAAATGATCAAAGGATCCTAAAGTTATCAAAGCATCTTGCATCACCATTACATGGAATGTGTATGAGTAAAGACAGGGAGAAAAAGTAGGGAGAATTGCTCATCCAGCTCACTGAGTGGTTTCAGGCAACATGGCAACCCATACTTAGGCTGAGTGTGGTTTGTGGTTGAAACAAGGATTATCATGGTGTCCAAACCCAGCTGAGGTCATGGATCATGATGAACAACCCACAGTTCACAAGTGAACAACAAAGTATGGGCTCTTTTCATGGGTTGTTTGGGATTAAAAAGCCATGGTCTGCTAGCACAGCTGGGTTCAGATAGCATCATAACCCACATTTTAACAAACGCCCATGGCTGAATGATAATCCTTATTGAACCAATACTCATCACTTCAGTGTGTGTTGTCTGAGTCCAGTCCTTATGATCAGAACAAGAAACAAGGACTACAACTTTAGCTAGAATTAAGTGCATTCAACATTCCATAAACTGCAGTGCAGAATGATCTTTTGTGTTTTTATTCAGAAGCAAGTGTCACTGTGCTCAACAGGCTTACTCCAAGATAAGACTGCAAACTTAAACTTACTAGTAACTATATTCAATAGCATGCATTAGAACTTGCTTCCAAATAAGTACAATTAGGAGGTCTCTATCTTAACTGTACATTGGTTTATTTGGCCAATGTGTTTGGAAGCCAGGGCAGAAGTTCTGTGGCAGGAAAAAATGTCCAGACTACAACAGCCATCCAATAGCAGGGATTTCTTCCCCCACTTTTCTTGCAAATCTGATTTGGCTCAGTTGCATGAGCAATCCATCCTCTGAATGCCTTTCTGAAGCACACCTGCTCTTTGGCTCCTCCAAAGGTGTTGCATTGGATGGCTTTGTATGCCTCTCCAAATCTATGATCCTGTTTGAATGGCCTGTTCAAAGGACACAATCTGTGAGTGCAGATAGAAGCAGTGCTCTCTCACCTGGTGAATAGCTACCAGTGGGAGGGCATTCATAGAGGGAAATGCTGGGATGTGCATCCCTAAACAGCTGCTATTTACCTTTGCACTCCAGCGCTAATAGTCTAACTGAGGGAAATGCCAGGCATGACCATCTGAGAAATAGCTTCTTGCCTTTCTCTTTCTCCACCTGGGATTTGAATGGGGCAGCTGCTGGTCTCTTTGAGAGGATTTGGGAGCCTTTGTCTCCCCGCTCGTGTTAGCTGACGCTTTAACAAGATGTAGAGACTGACAAATGAGATGCGCTTATGCTCATGTCTCTCTTTCTCTCATGGAGTTCCTCTTCATTTTATTCCTGATGATTGTTTCCAGCATGTTACTAATTTGGGACGGTATCAACAGTGGAAGCTTAAGAGAAATCCACTTCCTTCCTGTGTCTCATGCAATTGAGTGTAACAGATGTGACACTACAGGCACAATGAGCAACAACCTTGGAACAGTGCTCTCTAATCACTGGGATGATAGGCAGTGATCTGTTCGCATCAGCTGTTATTCTGACCCCAACATTTAAAGAGTTTCCACTCGGTGTGCCTAGCCCACATGTGGGCAAGCT